AACCTTCATAATTTCATTTGTAGATCTTTCCATTTCTAATTTATAAATACATTTGGGGTTATAAATTATAAATGTACTGTCTCCTGTCAACATTGTATACTTTCTATTTGATGATTTCTGTGTCAAACATTATATTAAAAGTTTCAAGCAGAAAAAAAAATGCACACACGTGCAGAACCTTTTCTGCACATAACTGTGTCTAAGGATCTATGGAGCATTTGGAAGGATGAGAAGAAAATAAAATACAAACCAGAATGGAGAATTGTTGTGAGAAAGAACATCAGAATAGACATAAATACATTAATGGCTCTCAAAGCTGAATTGAGTTACATTTTAAGTGATTTATTCATTTTTATTTACTGTGTATGAGTGTTTTGCTTGCACTGCTTGGATACCTGGTGCCCCTGGAGGCCAGAGAGGGCACTGGATCCCCTGGAACTGGAGTGGCAGACCTTTGGAAGTCCCCATGTGGAAGCTGGGAATGGAACCCAGGTCCTCTGCAGGAGCAGAACCTAAGTTGAATCCTTGAGACCATAACAAGAGGGGGCCGTCAGTCTCACAGCTCAGGAATGAGAAGGGGAAACATAGTGGCTTTTCAGAGAAGCTTCTCCTGGCCTTTGCTTTTGAGGGACCATCTCTTTTGTGTGTTGATTTGGGATGTTGAGGAGACTCGAAGGCTGTGCCTAGAACCATCCCATAATGCCAGCAGCAGTGCCTATGCTAAGGGAAATTCTAGTTGACATTTTCCTTACCCTGTTACAGACACCCTTGATGAACAGGTCTTACTTAAAGACAAACGAAGATTTTATATGGGTTATGTGAATTTCATGTTAAGTATTTGGTAAGTACTTACCTTATAGCCATGTCGCATGTATTTTGGGAGCACCACGTGTCATTTCAGTGCATTTGAACACAGTGTATGATCAGCTCAGGGCAGGTTTCCTGACACCCCAGACATTCTGTTGACTATTTTCATTTAAGTTTGGTTGTATTTGAAAACTGTATGAAGTAGAAAGTTTCAGGATCAGCTGCTTGAAGAAATTCATTAGGATTAAGATGCATTATGAAAATTAGACCAGGAAAGGCACAAAGCTACACAGAGAAACCCTGTCTCGAAAAACCAAAAAAAAGAAAGAAAATTAGAGAACTGGAAAGTCTATCTTGCGCGCGCGCGTGCGCGCGCGCGCGCGCGCGCACACACACACACACACACACACACACACACCTATGTTGGTACATAGAAAATTAAAATTTCTTTTCCACAAAGATTATCGCCCAGCTCACTTCAGGATGTGAAACAAAAATTAATAGTCTAGACGACTTTGGCTTCACGTTTTCTCTTCAGGAATGGCTTTATTGTAGTATAACTAACACCATAATCCTCACCAATTTATAGTGCACAATTCTGTGGCTATGGGCATATTCAGAGGTGTGCAAGCTTATTTTCATAGTCTGCCCTACTTATTTCAATCCAGAGATGCTTTACCACAGCTTCTCTTGGTGTGTGTGTGTGTGTGTGTGTGTGTGTGAATGTGTGTGTGTTAACACTGTGTATGGAGATCACAGGATAACTTTCAAGAGTCAGTTCTTTTCTTCCAGCTTATTGAGGCAATCCCTCCTGTACTTTTTTCCGTGCTGGGAACTGTAGCTGAAGTTTTTCCCAGTCCTGCCTGGGCCTGCAGCCATTCAGACCCACGTAAACACAGAGACTTATATTACTTACAAACTGTTTGGCCATGGCAGGCTCCTTGCTATCTAGTTCTTATATCTTAAATTAACCCATTTCTATTAATCTATACCTTGCCATGTGGCTCATGGCTTACCGGTAATTTTATATCTTGCTTCTCATGGCGGTGTCTGGCAGCATCTCCTGACACAGTCTTCCAATTTACAGAATTCTCCTCTCTGTTTATTCTGCCTATACTATACTACCTGCCTGGCTACTGGCCATACAGCATTTTATTTATCAATCAATCAGAGCAACACATTCACAGCATACA